GAAGTTTTGTGAATGGAAGTCCCAAAAACCCATTAGTTGAAGATCTGATTAAATTTCACGGCCAAACGGATATTTGAAACGCTAGCTAAATCAAACAACTAAATGAAAACCAAAAAATGAAATTATTTTAGAGAGAGCAAGGTACCTTGAGGAATAGAACGGCTAAGTCCGAGGCATAGAGGATTCAGCGAATTGGATTTATAAGTAGACGAGTAATATAGACATCCTTTGCATGATTTTCCTGGATTCTTCAATGATGATGAAGATGATGAACTTCCCTTTTTGCCTTCACTTCCGGCTTCCCCCTGATTATTCACACTTTCACTATTGCTGATACGGCAGTGATCGGCGGTGTTTCTCTCTTTTCCGATGGCAATTTTGTTCTCCGTTTCCGTCATTCCTTTCTACTCCGTCGCCGATTTATCGTCTCTACTTCGCCGGAAAAGCGATTGGAAAATGTATTCTATTGCAATTGAAACATTCCTCGTAATGGGGCGGGGCGGGGCGAATATCGGAAATCATTTCCGGGGCGGGACGAATATCGGAAAATAAACAGGTATTATATATATTTATTTATTTATTGTTCAAAATAGAGTTAATCCTCAAACTCGAAATTACATCAATGACGAATTTCATATTTTAACTATTTATCACGATAAAAGATTAGAAAAAAAGGAAGATCAATATTAAAAAAAAGTAATAACAAATAAACAAATATATATATAATTTCAAAAAGCCTTCACCCCGTACAAAATGGTGTGAAGATCGAATATTTTTTTATATATTTTCCCCCTTTTTTTTCTTGGTATTACAGTCTACATAATTTTTTTTTTGAACAAATAGACACGTATATGCTTCTTGAACTCTACTTGACAATTTGCTTTTTATATATATTATTCCACATAAAATAAATATATTTTATTTAACTTTATACAAATTTCGGTAATCTAGTTATACACATAGAACTTCGGAAGGGAGGAAGAAACCCATCTTAACAGGAGCTGATCTTTCCCGATAAGCTTACATGCACTTTAACTATTCCTTCCGCCATACCAAATTTTTTGGTGAGTAAGAAGAAATCACCTAATATTTTTTGCTTCCGTCAAAATTTTGAACCTCACATCATACACAACTCCCGAACTTTTTTCTATAACTAAGTGACCACCCTCTGAACCAATCGCGGCCTACTAAACTCGATGTATAATAAATCCGCCCTCTACCCTTCCCCACGGCCTACTAAACTCGATGGATAATGGATCTGCCCCTCTACTCTTCTCCACTTATATAGTGGACTTCTCTTTGCATATTGTGGGGCTTGAACCTGAGACCCAAGCCACGAATTCTCCACCTTTTTTTCACTTTGAGCTAAGCATTGGGGCTTACACAACTCACAAACTTACTCGAACAAAGCAAAGATTATCAATCATCCCCAGATTAATGTGATCATAAATTCCAAATGACTAACATGTCTTTGGAAAGAAAAGGAAACAGAACTTAGCCATTAAAATTTACAAAGTTTGCTTATTGTTGTTTCAGAATCTTACTCACATACTGAAGTTTTACAGTTGGTAAATGTGTGAGGTCACAACTCACAACAATGAAGTGCCTACAAGAAATAAGAAATGTAAAAATTATGTTTTTACAGTACGATGACCAAAAACAGGATAATAAGTATCCAGCTCAAGTAGTTCTAAAATCTCTTGTGTAGCCCATAGATACGACGAATGGCCCTCGATGAATTCCGTTACATCAACCTGTAAATGGAGTACCAGAGAAATTGAATTTCAACTAAATGCAGACAACTGCAATACACAGAAAAAATGGGAACATCAAACTTACATTCTCAACACCAGGAATCTCAACTGGTTGAATTCCAGCCAGGCCTTGAGTAAGGAGACTGTTGAAAAGAAGTAACAGAAGTCATAAGAAAGAGAAGCAGACATCGGCAAATCAAACGTCAAAGCAGATAGCGAGGAAATCCTTGAAACCATCAAACATATTGCAGCAGCAGCAGTTGATTTTTTCAAAATCAGTACGACACTTGTGAATAACCCATACCTGGCACGAAAGGCAACTCCAAGCATCCAATCATTTGTAGAATAAGCATTCACAAATCTACCAGCTACCACCTGCAAAACAAGAACAGCGAACTTCAGATAGTAATGAGGTTGAACCCTACACTTCTAAATATGAAGAAAAGGGAGGGGATAATAGGAGAGGGGGGGGGGGGGGGGACCAAAAGTTTACGAATATAATTAGAAGTAGTTAAAATCAAGAAAAGTATGACAATGAGAACCTTTCTAGCTGCCTCCCAGTCCATATCTTTAATTGCAATAGGTGCCCCAAGAAGTACGACCCTTTCCACTAGTCCAGCTGCCAAAATTCAAGTACTTCAGGATCTCGGGAAGTAAAGCAATCAACTACGCCTCAAAACAAATAATTATGGTCCACATGAAGCAAATGATCAATCTAAAAAGTTAAACAATATATAGAGACACTTACAATTATTTTCACTCTCAGCCAAAACCTGTAGACATTTAAAAATAACTCTTGCCCCTAGTGAAAATCCTACAAGTGTCACAGGCCTGAAACAATCATGGACAATCAATATCGGAATTGGCTAACAAGTAAGCCCACTTTCAGGACAATCAAAATGTAGCCATTCCAAATTACATTTAGGCTAGTATACCTGTGTCCCTGTAATCCTTTCTTCAACACTTCTGCTAGGAGCACTCCTGCTTTATCAGATCTGCAAATTCACATCAGCAACCATCATCAGAGTTTCACAAAGAAGTAAGATGCTCTACTTCGACACAAAATGGTATGACATAACTGCTCAATGATTCAAGCAGTAGGAGGCTGGAGCATAATCAGCACCACTGGAAAAGGAAAGGATGAGATTTCAAAGACCAGAAATGCTAGGGGCACAAAACTTTTACAGTGATACGGGTAAATTATTTGAGTTGTTCCTTTTGATTTTCTCATCCTCATAATTAATAAACCACCTTCTCTTAAAAGAGTTTAACCTTTAGATTGCAGAGGAAGGGCAAGGAAAATATCTCCACAACCTCCTCCTACCGAATCCCCATCCCACACCAGAAAAGAATGTGTAAAAGAAAAGATAAGCAGACAAACAAAAACCTGTCCACAGCAATTGACCAGGTGCTGTCTATGAAATCAGTAATAGTAAGTAAAGCTGCTGGCCAAGCCAAAGCTGTTAAAAGAGTGTGTAGTACAGTCATCATAGCACCTTGCTTCATCAACTCCATTGCAATTCCTGTTATTTAGGAAATCATGCTTGTTAATATTATACACTTGAAATGCAATTGTAGCTGGTCAATGTATTACATCGACTGAAAGCAAAGTACAAAATATTTACGTGAAGTCAGCCAATCCTGAATTGCAGTGCTTACAGCAATAAGATTCTTCGATTCCCACTGCAATATATACCTGAGAAAATTGTGAAATGTCACACTATAATCCTTGTGCTAAAGATATGGGAAAAGGTTGGGTTGTTTAGGTACAAGTAGGAAATTTAAATAAAGCTCATCACTACCTTCGCAGTATCACCAAAATGAAAATAAACTGAGAAGAAAAAAGAACAATGTTTTACCTTTCAGAGTTATCATGTTGTCCTTCCCAAGGTCTTATAAAGTCTTCCTCCTCAAAAACAAGTCCCGAGATCAAGATCTGAACTGCCAGCCGCTGAGAGAATATCCAAAGTGAGAGAACAAATACCAAAGAGAATTAATGGTCCATGAGTAAAACTATAACTCATCGAAACCATGAGAATAAAGAAGAGGGGATAAAAACAAACAAGCAGAGTACCAGACTGCAATCCTGCCCAGTGAAACAATACGTGCTAAGAAGAGATATCAAGTTTCAAAAAGAGAGCTAATGATTTACCCCCTGGTTGTGGTTTTCCCCTATAGCCTTGAACTCAAATTCATCAACATCTCCAGTTCTCCTGGCCATTTTAGTTCCTGTAAGTCCGGCTCCAGCAGCTGGGTAAGGAGAAGTATCAGTAACAACATCAAATAACTGAAGAATTACTTAAAGATGTTCACAATCCAAAACCAATTTTAATTAAATGAGTTGCCTTACATTATCTGTCTCCATAATCATCACATAAAAAAGATTCAACCAAAGAATATTAAAAGATTATACGCACACTGACAATCCTATAAACGTGTACCTCCAAATGATGCTGCGACTGCAACAGATCCTGCAACACTCCCAGCAGCAGTAGCAACAGCAGCAAACCCACTTGCTCCAATCACAGGAATAAGAGTGCCCAAGGTAGGTGCTAAAGCACCAAAGCCTGCAGCTATTGCTGGAGCAGCCAAACCTGATTGACAATAAAACAAAGGTTAGAAAGTCCTACAATTTGTTCTCTAATACGGTTGTTCATTGAGCATAGTAAAAGCTCTTTAAGAATAAATAAAGACAAAGGTCAGAGAAATCTGTTCCCTTGGAGGCTTGTTAAGATTGTATCTGCCTGCTAAAAGTTGAGAAAATTTTAGATGTCGTACCACCAGTAATTGCCATTAAAGTTCCACCAGTCAATGCAGCTGCACCTATAATACCTCCTCGTTTCCACTTAGCCCATGAACCATCAGGAGATTGGCTTTCCTCCTTTGATTCTTCCTCTTTCAGCAAAGCCATTGCTGAACAAGCAACCATGGTCTCAATGGCTTCCTGCAGCACATAAATTCTTTCAAAATGGGAAGTTTATGGAAGTTCATGCCACTTAGGGAAGCTGTAAATGATGTGCAATTTCAACATGTTCTCTTCATATGAAACAGATGTTATCCTAACTTAAATGAAAAGAACTGCTTGTCAAAATCAGAATGAAGTATATTTACACTTATGCATCTATATTCTCTTCACAAGAGTTGTTGACATCAATGTAAAGAACCAAAAGAATATAAAAGATCCAAATTCTCTTCCTAATATAAAAGGAAAGCAAACACACATATGTACATTTTTTGAAACTGGTAATATTAGGAAAGCAAAACATATAAATATTTACTCTATAGAGTTAAAGCAAGGTGAACTTACAAATGTGGGATAAACAAACATTTATTTATATTAACTTGTAATTTAAGATCTTTAAAGATGCACCCTATAAAGAATTCTATGACTGTAGTAGCCTGCTAAAAGCGTGCAGCTCCCTACTATGCAGATTGTTCTTGTACCACGGTAGAGTGGACTCTTATCGCTTCCATAAAAAGGTTGTCTGTAGTAGCCTGCTCAAATGACCCCATCACTATTATGGAAAAAAAATTATAGCCATATCAGGGTATTTAAAGATCTTCAAAATTCCATGGCATAACGAAAAAAGGATGTGCAAATTATCAGTAGTATTATTCCAGACCAAATCAAAAGTATATGTGTCGCTCGATTACCTGCAATATTGGCAATAATTCTGGTAACAAATTCCACATTGAAAGTCAAGTGTCAGTTACCATATCTGGATTAGGTTTTAAAAATATGCACTTTAGGTATGTGGTAATTATTCTATTTACTGACTTGACCGTAATTTCTAATACGTGTATTAGTGCACATAAAGATGCAAAAATATGCCTTTTATCATAATAACTTGATCTGTTATACATCTCTTACTTGTTATATCTAATTTCTTATAATAATGTTTTCAATATTGATTTTTAAATATTAGAAAGTACTTAGCAAAAATTGTTCATAAAAGGACTGCAATATTTCTTCATTCAATTATTTCATAATTTAGCACTAACATATTAACTTTCCTCATAAAATTGTTCTTTATGATATAATCAAAAATAAATAATTAAGATGCATAATTCTATAATTATTTTTAAAATAAACTTGGCAGAATATCTTGGATTTTATCTTAAAATATCTGTCCTTTCGAGCAGGGAAATGAGTAGGATAAAATCTTATCCATTCACAACGGCAAACAAGCTAAAAGCAGGATAAATTTCTCAAGCTCATATTACTGGTTAGTGTTCTTCACTTTTGGGCAGCTAATTGAATGTTCTACACAGTTTTTCCTCAAGAGAGCAGGCATTCAAATAACTTCATGATTGCAGACTGACATACAAAAGGTCTACAAAGATTCTTCCTACTATAAAATTAGCATGTTCATACATCCTGAAAGGACTAGCAATAAATATATCAGTCACTTTAACAGAGATAGCAGAGAAAGAAACATAGCACATAATGGAAATTTATGCATCATTTAAATTGTACCGCTTTGATCCATCTGACATTAAGCCATGTTGCTAGCAACCGTAAAGCCATACGATGTCGAGCATCATAACCCTTCCTTCTTCGAGTAGTTTTCTTACCGTCTTCAGGTACTTGTGCGAGACAAGCTGAAAGAAGCTCATAGAGAATGGTCACCTTCCTAGTGTACCCAAGCATTGATACCTCTTCCACAGGTTTTTCATCAAATCCACTAACAGACTTCAAATGAGCCCCCACAATGCTAGATGGTTTTTGGCTTTTCTCTGGGTAATTTTCACCCTTCATATTTTCCATATCAGACTTGGACGTCACATCAGCAATTGATAGCTTCTCCTCACATTCATGCTTATATTCACGCCTCTTCTCCTCCTTAGACTCATCATCAGAAGTTTTCTCCATGCTTGATGCCATAGCATCTACGCCATTTGCCAAAGCAAGTTCCATGTCTGCTGCTTCTGAAGAACCATCATCACTTTCTTCAGACAGTAACCTTAGAAACTGATGTAATATCAGTAATCATGCCGTCAGGCAAGTAATGACAAAGATATTTACTTAAGACTGCCTAATCATATCAACTAATGTATTAAAAATCAAAGGAGAAATCTTTCCATTTTAATAAAAGCATTTAGCAGCAGAGGTAACAGATCTCTCCTCCCAAAGTACGGTAGATCTTAATTTAATGCAATTTTCTGATAAACTCAGGAACTAGTCATGGACATAAACTCATGAAGATAACTACCTTACTATTCTACAACTTTAAAGAGACAAGAAAACTAACCGCCCCAACATGATGCTTAGGTGGTGTAGAGGCAGCAGTTTCCTCTAGTCCAGACCATGCCTTGTCATCAATCTCTAAAAATCTACTCACAACAAATCCAAAACGGAACCCAAATTAATAATCTACAAATTGACCATTACGCACTAGCATTAGTTGTTGAATGCTGGTTGAATGGATCAAATGTGTCATGTTCAAAGTATGCCAAGTAATACACCTTTTGCTTTCCCATTAGTTAGTAAGTAGTAAATACTCCTTCAACCCCGATTCATACAATGCTTTTTCCATTTTAAGACTTCCCAAAATTTTGACACCATCAACAAATAAACGTACTTTTGCTATTCAAATTTAGAACTTTAATGTGATATCTTCCAATCAGTGTTTACCATTTCTTCCCCTAGTAACATATACATAAGTCAAACTAACCTCTAAACTAATTCTCCAGTCAAAAAACCGTAATATAATATCCCTAAAACCCTGCAATAACAGCTGAAATAGACAGGAATTTGCACCCAAGGGTGTAGCCTAATGGCCAATGAAGTGGGTTGAGAACCATGAAGCTCACGATCAAATCCCACCAAATTAATAAAACAAAACACTAGGTGATTTCTTTCCATTTGTCATAGCCTTGGGAGGACAGAGTTACTACCAGTTATTTCTAGTGGAAGTGTAACTAATTGCGTTGCGTGTAAGCCGGCCACACCATACTACCATAGTTATGATAAAGAGTAAGGAGTCAAAAACAATCTCTATTTTTTGAGTTTTCTATCTGAATTATCATGTATTCACTTTTTTTTCTAGCTCACCCATCATCAACTATTAATTTCAGCTTAAAAAGGAAACAACTACTGTATTTCAATAAACATTTGACCATAGTTTTACATAGAAAACTCTCACACTTGATAATTCATTCATGAAACTCAAAAACCGAATACTTTATATGCGTCTTTTACATTCCCTCAACAAAAAATACCAGATAACAAAGAATTAACAAAGAGAAACTAATACCAAATTTCAACATTTTATAATCCAATAAATCAAATCAAAATTGAGCAAAGTTGAAGGAATTAACTTGAAGATAGGTCTTAGAAGAGCAGATGATTCATGAACCCAAAGTTGAGGATCATCGGAAACGGAATCCGCACTACTGCAACTGCTACTCCGTTCCTCCGGCGGTGTATCCGGAAATCCCAACGGACAAGTTTGATGGATCTGAGCCTGATGAAGAGCAAGTCCAAACAAAGCTCCGGCTGCATACCGGTGCGTCGGCGTCAACATCAAAGACGAAGACATTGATATCACTGAAAATTGATCGGATTTTATCGATTCGATTAATTGTTCATTTTTATTTTTTCTTCAATATTTTATGAATTTGTTGATTTCGCCATTTTTATTTTCAAGTTTTATGAAGTTATGATTTCGCCAAAAAAAAATAAAAAAATCTTAAGCGGTCGAACTGTATATTTGTTGAATATTTCGATGAACCGACGAAGTCTTTTAACGTAAACGATGTATGTTAATGACTATATATTTGGCCTATTATAATATTCAAAGAGAAAATGAAAAAAAATTTATATAATTTCTTCAAAGTATTAGTCGAGTAATTTTGATAATTTAAATTTATTAAAGTATAATAAAATAATAATATAATTAATCTAATTTTAATAGAAAAATATAAAAAATATTTTAAATAAATTTGATTCGATTTAAAAAACAATTCAAAATAGATAAAAAAAAAAGGTAAATCACATAAATATGTTATATTTAAAAAATATTTACTATTTATGTCAATATAATATTTATAACTAAATATAACAATTTTTTTGAAATAAAAAAAATATATTGTCGTTTCCTTTCTCGGTCCTTTTGCCTTTTAATCTTTTTCTTTTCTTTTTAAAGATCTTCTTCTTATCTTTCTTTCTATATCATTATTATTTCCGTATTTTTATTTTATTTTATTTTTAAAAATAATTATTCTTCTTCTTTTAATTTTTATTTAATTAACAAATCAATTTTTCATATTTCATTATATGCATGTCACTATTTTTGTACCAAAAAAAAAGATGAAACGAGGAACAAAAAAAATCGTAAAATTGTATAAAATCACTATACAGATCATTGTCTTGTCAGTCATTAGCTACGTTTTTCATTCATTTTTTATTCTCTCTTCTTATTCAAATTCAACACAGTGTAACACAATTTTAATACAAATTTAATTTATTTTGCACTTTTATTTATTTGTTCCTATTGGATACTTGCTTAATTCATTATTGGTACATGTTTAATTCACTCTATAAATCATTGTCTAATATTTCATTTGTTGCATTTTTTTATTCATGCTTAATTTTCTCTTCTACCTCGACTTTAATATTTGTGTAATACATTTTTAAAATACAAGTTTAATGCATTTTGCAGTTAATTGATTGATTTGTTACAGTTGGTTACTTGTTTAATTTATTATTGATACAAGTTTTATTCAGGTTACGTGCGGATCAAAGAATGTTCTTTTGTTTTCTATATTCTACATTCATATTTAATTCTCTTCTAATAATTCAGCTTTAATATATTTGTAATACATTTTTAATTCAAGTTTATTTCATTTTGCAGTTTCTTATGTCTCTTCATTTGTTACGATTATACTAGTTCTCTTCTAATAATTCAACTTTAATATGTTTGTAATACATTTTAAATTTAAATTTAATTCATTTTGTAGTTTCTTATGTCTCTTCATTTGTTATGATTATACTAGTTATCTTCTAATAATTCAACTTTAATATGTTTGTAATATATTTTTAATTTAATTTTAATTAAGATTTTTATGCCTCTTCATTTGTTACAATTATATTACTTCTCTAATTAATTATTGATATAAGTTTTATAGAGTCTAGAATAATTAATTATTCTACGAAAAAAGAAAAAAAGATAAATAGTAAGAGGAGACAGAGCAACAATAAAAAAGCAAGAAAGAAAGGATAATAGAAAGAAAGTAGGAAGAATGGAAGAAAGGGTGGAAAAAAACAGGGGGAGTGAAACAGAGAAAAGAGAACGAAAGAAAAAAAGGGAGCGAAACATAGAAAAGAAGAAAGAAAGAGTGAGACAGAAAAAAGGAAAAAAATAAAAAAATAGCTATAAACGGTAATAAATGAAAAGTATCGCTAAAATCAGTAATTATTTATTAAAATGAATCAATTTATGTAATTTTTATATTTAAAAAATGATCAATCGGTGGCAAAATATGATAGGAAGTATGATAAAACATTATGAAAAAATAAGTAGTAACCATAATAAAATATTATAGTAATTGAAAAAGAAATAACAAAAATCAAAGGATAAGAAAATGCGTATTGCAGTGATAAATATGTTGAATAAATGCAAAAACATATTAGAAATAAGGTAATTCGGGAGAATATGAGAAGACCTAAATGGCGGATAAAATAAGGAAAGTAATATTAGAAATTTAGAATGGTTAGGAAATGTGAAGAGAAAATGCGTTGAATGTTGACAGTCCAATAAAAGGTGTAAGAGGCGGAATGTTGAATATACGCGAAAAGGTAGAGATAGATCAAAACTATATTTAAAATGTAATTAAACAGAATATGACATAACTTCATATAACCAAAGAAGAGATAAGGAATGGAAGTCGCATATTCGACTAGAAGGTTAATAGAGGTTGAAAGTTATTTTACCTTGTGAGAGTTTAAGCTTGTTTGTGCATGTCGCACTATTAACCATACCCTTATAGTTTTGACTTTCAATTATTATACTTCCGTTTTTTGTTATTTTCTTTCTTGTAGACTTTATACTGCTTTTCTAATTGTTATGCTTTCTATATTGTTTTCTCATTCTTTTACTTTGATGCATTTGAATTGAGAATCTTTCGGACCAAAATTGCTTTAAAATGATTTCAGGAACTATTTAGAGCCTGTGATATAATATCTTGTAAAGGTGTGAATACAATAGCATTTATGTGACCTAATTTTTTAACAAAATATTGTTGCATAGTCCTACATGATGACTTATTTTGTTTTCAATTGTATTTCTTCTCCCAGAGATTGTCTTCTGGGTCAGAATTAACCTGCAAGTTACCAACTCTTCTGCACTTAATTTCTACAGAAGTTCACACAACACTTTTAAAATGCATGAGAACAAATTCCCAACTCTAATTTGGAATATGTAGAGATTTTGCTGGATCAGAGTTACCTTGTGGCAATGTATTACTATT